TGGAAAAGGCAAAACTATGGAGACAGTACAAAGACCAGTGGTTCCCAAAGGTTAAAGGGAAGAGATGGATACAATAGGCAGAACACAGAAGATTTTTAGGATTATAGGATCTACTCCATGATCTTATAATGGTAGATAAATGTCATTATACTTTGGCAAAACCCACAGAATATACAACACCAACAGTGAACCCTAATGTAAACTATGGACTTTGGGTGATGATAATGTGTCAGTCTTAACAGGTGTACCACTCTATTATCCAGACTTTGATAGTCGGGGAGGCTGTGTGTATGGGGCCAAGAGTGTATATGGGAAATCTCTGCACTTCTGTTCAATTTTGGGAATCTAAAACTGCTCTAAAAAATGAAGTCTATTGAAAAGGGAAAAAATGAGTAAAGGATCCGAATAGATATTTCTCAAAAAAAGATATAGAATTGGCCAGTAAGCACATGAAAGAAACTCAAAGTTATTAATCATTTGGGAATTACAAGTCAAAACCATGAGATATAACATAATGCCCACTAGAATGGCTACAATAAAGAAGACAGACATGCCTGTGATATATACAGAAAACGTGAAACATACACACAAAGGAATATTATTCAGCCTTGATAAAACAAGAGAAATCCTGTCTCATCCTGCAACCTGGATGAACCTTGATATTATGCTAGGTGAAATAAGCCAACCACAAAAAGATGAATATTGTGTGATTCCACTTATATGAGTGGAATCTAAAGTAGTCAAATTCGTAGAACATTAGGATGGGGCTCGCTAGGGTCTAGGGGGTGGGGGGAAATGGGAGTTGTTATTTAACGGGTATAGAGTTTCAGTTTTGCAAGATGAGAAAGTTCTGGAGGTCTGTTTCACAACAATGTGAACTATACTTAACACTACTAAACTCAGAAATGATTAAGATGGTAAATTTTATGTTCTGTATTTTTTAATCACAATGCAAAAGAAAAAAATTTTAAACAGGTATTAACAGTGTTGGCAAGGATGTAGAGAAATTAGAAGTCTTACACATGGCTGGTGGGAATGTAAAATGGTGCAGCTGCTTTGGAAAACAATTTGGCAGTTCCTGAAAATGTGAAATACATGGTTATCATACGATAACCAGCAATTCCACTTGTAGGTATATACCCAAGAGAAATGAAAATGTATGTCTACACAGAAACTTGTACACATATGTTTATAGCCAAAAAAGTTGAAACAACCCAAATGTCCATCAACTGACAAAAGGATAAATAAAATGTGGTATGTGTGAAGAGTGGCACAGTGGGAGTGAGCTGGGCCCATAACCCAGAGGTCAGTGGATCGAAATACAATGGGTCTATCCATACCACGGAGTATTATTTGGCCATAAAAAAATGAAGTACTGATACATGCTATCAAATCTTGAAAACATTATGCTAAGCAAAAGAAAAAACCCAGACACAAAAAGGCCACATACTGTATGATTTCATTTATGTGACACACCCAGAATATGGAAATCTATAGAGATAGAAAGCAGATGAGTGGTTGACAGGAGCTGGAAAGGAAGGAGGAATGAGGAATTACTAATAGGTATGGGGTTGCTTTTTGAGTTTTTAAGGTTTGTTTGTTTGTTTTAATATTATTTATTTATTTAACAAAGAGCACAAGTGGGGGAGTGGTGGGGTGGGGGTGGGGAAGGAAGCAGGCTCTCTGCTGAGCAAGGAGCCTGATGCAGGATCATGACCTGAGCCGCTTAACCAACTGAGCCACCCAGGTGCCCCTGGGGTTGCTATTTGAGATGATAAAAATGTTCTGGAATTAGATGATAGTAATGTTTGTCCATTTTGTGAATATACTAAAAACCACTGAAATGTAAACTTTAAAAGGGTGAATTTTATGGTATGTGAATTATATCTTAACTTTTAAAAAAGGTTTAAAAATAAAAAAAGCAATACATCCAAGACATGGATACAGGGAGAGTCACCAGGCAGATAATATCTTTGAATGTGACTCCATTTGTACCCATAGTCTGGTAAGACTGAATAAACCCAGGGCACATTCTCTGATATTATTTTCCCTTTCTTAAACTATAAAAACACTAAATACTAAAAACTGAAAGTTTACCTTGCAAAAAAGAGAAAAGTAGACATAATCTCACCATGGAATAGAACAACCATTTTCTTTTTTCCCGTATATTCTCTGATTGGTGATGACTCTTTCACAAACATGACTAAACTAAGAATGACTAAACGTGAATAAAACAGGGATGTTAAGATCTCTCTCTTAATCAAGAAAAAACCCTTCACATTTAGAAAGGCCTACTTGGGAGAAATTTACTACAGAAAATTAAAATTTCTAAGACATATAAAGCCAATATGTAACCAGTTATTGGCATGAATAACCAAATTTTGTTAAGTGAGCATTTCTCATTATAGGACCGCATAATTTCCCCTGCTATTTCTTAGAATCTCCAGATGGGGTCTCTGCCTAGCTTCCTTACTGAAGATCACAGCCTATAAACTGCCTGTCCCTGGTTATTCAAGATGCGCCCCCTAGCGGTGCCCTCCCTGAAAATGCAGCCCTACTGGGTTTGGGGACATCTGAGCCTCCGTTTCCTTATATATAAAATACAGATAGTAATACCACCTCACAGGTTTTAGTGTGACCTGCATTAGCCAGCGAGTGTAATGTGCCTAGTTCAATAAACAAAGGCTGTTATTATTATGATCCCAGGATGTCTTAAAAAAAAGTCACCTACAGACCACCAAGACACACCTTTTCTATTCATCTACACAGTGAAGCCTTAGGCAATTGCCAGTTTCAGATGACATTCCAGTTGGTTCTCTATGAGTGAAGCCAACAGACAACCCAAGTGCCTAGTAGATAATAGGACCCCCCAAAAATGTTTCCTGAGTAAATGAGTAAAATGAGCCTTAGGGGCGCCTGGGTGGCTCAGTCGTTAAGCGTCTGCCTTCGGCTCAGGTCGTGATCCCAGGGTCCTGGGATCGAGCCCCACATCGGGCTCCCTGCTCAGCGGGAAGCCTGCTTCTCCCTCTCCCACTCCCCCTGCTTGTG